ATTTTATTAAAATTTTCTTTGTTGTAGCAATTGTAGTAGTAACATTTGGTATTTTCTTTGATAAAAATCCCGACCCAGTTTTGTTTCCAATTTGCGTTGCGGTCTTACCTCTCGTGTATGTGTTACTAATTATAGCAATTTATATGTAATCATGCATTTCGTTATGTTGTATTCTCTATGATAATGAATAAAGCTAATATATGGCTTTTTTTTTCTGTTTAGTCATAATGGCAAGAATGGCTAATATCGAGTTCGAGGTCCTCGACATATCGGGGAAAAATTATCTATCGTGGCAATTGGATGCTGATTTGCACTTGGAATCAAAAGGTCTTGGTGCCACAATTAAAGAGAAAAGTGCATCAACTGAAAATAAAGCAAAAGCACTAATATTATTGAGGCATCATATTCATGATGATTTAAAAAAGGAATATCTGACAATCAAAGATCCTGCAGATCTTTGAGAAAAATTAAAAGACCGTTTTGATCATCAAAAAACGGTAATCCTGTTGGTTTAGTGCTCTATGATGTACTGATTATGAGCTTTGTTCAGATACATTCGATGTATTGATACTTTCTATGTGATTTTATGAGAGTATTTTATTCATTACATGTTCTTGCATGCTAGATCTGTTATGAAATCCATGTATCATTAGGAATGATACTAAACTCCCTAGTCTTGTGTCGTTATGGGAATAACGACATAATAAGACTAGTATGATGTGTGATTGATGATCACATAGATGATCATAAGTATTGGATACGATCACAATCATAGGTATTCGTTGGAGAACGGAATACTGGATTGACCCACATGAGATTGTCACATGGACTAGCGTCATGACTTGAATCTCATATGACGGTTCCATGATTAGATCCTAAGACCTGAGATATCTACGGAATCCAACATGAGGAGTTGCGTGCTTTGATTACGTCAAACGTCCTGCGTAACAGGAGGACTATAAAGGCGTATATCAGGTACGAAACGAATCATGTACTGGATTGTAGATAGTCAAGACGGGATTTGTACCTCTCATAAAAGAGAGAGATATCGCTGGGCCCCTCGTGTGAGCGAGACTGTAGAAATGTGTGGCCGCACTATAGACGAACGTCGTCTATTTCAGACAGTCAAACTCAGTTAACGAGAAAGCAGTCGAATCAGATAAGGTGGCTTGTCCATGCCTTATGTTCGACATATGATATCGCGATACAAAAGGATCATCAACCGGAATCATCACTGGCGTTCGTATGATCACGAACAAACTCTATTCGAGATAGGTAGTCATAGTGTCTTGCTAGAGACCGCCTATGACTTGTATACCCAAAATAGGGATTTCGGGTTATACTGCTATGTCGAATGAGCCTACAGGGTCACACACGCAGGGAAGGACAAATGCACGAGAGAAAACGACGAAAAACCGAGACGGAAGGGGCTGGAACGGACGGACCAGAAAGTCCAGAACGGACGGTCCGCCCGAACCAGACCGGACGGTCCACGACAACACGCAGACCGTCCGTTCTATGAGGATAGAACGGACGGTCCGCACT